CGCGGAGCCGCCTGCGGGGCGGCTGCCCTGCTGGCTGGGCTAGAGCTGCGCGGCCCCGCGGACACAGCGCCGGCACCTTCCCGATGGAGCAGCGGCCGTAGCGCGGCCCGCGGGGACCATGAATGGGCTCTCCCGGCACGCCGGGGCCCGCGCGGCGCACAGCCCGGAGCGCAGAGCCGTGCGGGACCTGCAGGCCAAAAAGGGCGGGCAGGCGGCGCGGCAGGGCGCTGGCGACAGCGGGGAGCTGCCCCCTGAGGACCCCCCGAGCCCGGGCGCCTCCGCGTGCGGAGCCTTGACGCTCCCAGGTGGAGAGGCCAAAGGCACCGCGAGCATCAAATCCATGACCCCGAGGCCTCCGCGGAAGCCGCGGCTGGAGCGCGCGGCCTCCCTGGACGAGAAGAGCTGGAGGAGGTGGAGGCGGTTAAAGACGAGCCAGGAGAGCCTGAGCGACGCCAACGAGACGAGCTCCTCGAACGGCTCCCTGCAGGACGCGGCGGCGGGCGCCCGCGCGGCCCCCTGGGCGCAGAGCCCCTCGCCGGGCGCCCGCGAGGCGAGCGGCGGCGGCCGGAGCAGGGGCAGCGCCGCCGAGCTGGGCAAGCGGGTGTGCGAGCTCTCGAGCAGCTTCGGGGAGCTGCTGCGGGGCAGGGCGCTCTCGGGCAGCAAGCCCCGGCTGGGCCAAATAACGCCCAGCCGGCCCCTGCCGCCCGTGGAGCTGGACGCGGCCTCGGCCGCGCTGAGGACGGCTAATAGGATTGACTCGGACTGCGCGGATTACCGGCGTTGCTGGCAGCGCGGGCCGGGCAGGGTGAGCGGCAGCTCGAGCGACAGCCGGCTGCACGGCGGCGGCGGCGGCATGGTGTGCGGCAGCCGCTCCGCCGACTCCATGAAGTCTGCGTTCAGCCTCCTCGCGCCCATCCGTGCCAAGGACGTTCGCAGCAGGTACGTCCCGCGGGTCTCCTGGCCCTGCGGTGCTGGGTCACCCGCTGCCCGGAGAACCCTCGTGGTCTGAGGCGGGTCTCACTGGCAATGAATGACAAAATCGTTCTCTGCTTTTTTCCCACTTGCTCCAAAGACTTCAGTTTTAAACACTTTGAAACGGATGAGAAGTTTAACACCACGTAGTCCRTTTTGTGTTCTCCTTTGTGCTGTGCGCTGCTTTTCGTAACAAATACAAGCTAGGTTGCTGTCAGATTCTTGTAAGTKTCCTACAGTAAGCTGTTTTGAAATGTAAACCTTAGTTGTGGGTGCTTATGGCTGGGAACAGGTCTCTTTTTTAACCTTAAACGTACATTGGGCTGGAATGGAGGTGTTAACCGGCAGGGGAAGGAAGGAAAGCAGAGACCTCAGCCCGGAGCTGTGGAGCAGCCGGTGCTCCAGGCAGCCCCACAGGGCACCGAGTGTCCTCTGCTCCTGGTCACCTCGATTGGCTCCCGGTGGGACCAGGTCTTGTGCTGTRAAGAGCCTCAGTGCATCCCAGCAGATCCGCTGCTCTCAGGGAAGGTGCTGATTCCCTGATTCCCCTCGGCTCCAAGCACACCACTTTCCCCAGCTGCAGGCCTGACCTCCTCCTCTGGCTGCTCATTTACCTCTGTAATTAGTTGAGCTTCAATTACTGATTGGCAGGGCCTGGCATGGAGATGCTCATGTGTTTGCTGGCTAATTGAATCCTCTTGCAATTAGCTGCCAAAACTCTGTTTGCAGAGACCTCCCAGCACGCAGCTCCTGCCAGTGTTACTGACAGCCCYGTGGAGCAGGAGTGCAGCAAGTCCTCAGTTACCTTAGCTTTTAAAAGTTGGGTGTTGCAGATACACAATCAGCAGGATATTGATGGGTAAGTCTGATCATTGACCTAAAAACAGTCAGTGATACGGAAAAAATAAGTGAGAGGTAAATTAAGATCTTGCTAACTGGCTAAAACCCAACCAAACAACCCAAAGAGAGGTCGTTGCTGGTTTGTAAGTGATGARTTTTCCTGTTCCTTCTTCTGATAAGGGCTTGGAGAGAGCAGAGGCTGGCCTGGCCTTCCCCAGCATTAGGCTGTAATCGTTATTTGAGGAGCTTAAGCAAGATTAAAAGTGCTTATTCAACCTGCTCTCCTTTTGCCARTACCTCCTGCTTTCCTATGCGGTGTCCTCTGGGGAGGCAGTGACGTGTGGACGTCCATCCATTTCACATTTAGGGTGTGAAATGCTTTAAGATCGAGCTCTCAAGAAATTTTTTATGGAAAACTAGTGTGCTGAGGTGAAATGAAGGAAGAATGTGAGTTTTAATCCTTGCTTAGTGCCAGCACATAGGGAATGGTGCTGCTGAAACGTAAACTGGGCAGGTTCGAGATGCTCAAGGGTCAAGCGAACATGAGGGAAGCAAAGCAACACCTAGATAATAAAGGTTCTTTTCTTGAGCAGGCAGTCTGTTCATGACTGGCAGAAGACTCGAGCGTTACAAACCAGCGTGCCAGTGGTTGTGCTCTTCATCCAGATGCTCCTTTGTGGCTCTCCTCTTTACAGAAGCTACTTGGAAGGCAGCCTCCTGGCCAGTGGTGCCTTACTGGGAGCAGAGGAACTCAGCCGCTATTTCCCTGATCGGAATGTTGGAATCTTCGTGGCTACCTGGAACATGCAGGGTCAGAAGGTGCATACGTTTATTGCCTATTTATGTGTCTTCCTAGTGTTATGACTTAGAAACCCTTTTTGTTTTTTTTGTTCTTTTTAAGCCTAAATTGCGGTCATATGCTGTGAAGTCTATAGCTTTGTCTGGACTTTTCCTCTACTCCTGTAATAAATTATTGCAYAAATAATATTGCTAATTTCTTCTACCCTTTCTTAAAAGGAACTTCCAGTGAACCTGGATGACTTCTTGTTACCAACGGATCCTGACTATGCCCAGGATATGTATGTCATTGGAGTTCAAGAAGGCTGTCCAGACAGGTAGCCACAACAATGTAATGAACAGTCCTCTCTCCTTGTTAACTGGTAGCTTTTTTTTTTCTTTCCATTCTGGAAATATTCTTGGACATATTTTCAATATTCCTAATAAGCCATGGGGCTGGTTGGCCTTTAACATGGCTTTGCTTTGCCAGTGGAGGTCCTGTTTATGTTTCCTTGCCTTCCTTCATCAGAGCATCTTCTCACAGTGCTCGTTTCCCTCCTTGGTTATTGTGTCTGGTCCTGTTCCTTGTGATCCAGCTGTTGTCTTTCCTGCAGAAGAGAGTGGGAGATCCGCCTGCAGGAGACGCTGGGCCCGCACTACGTCATGCTCTGCTCCGCCGCGCACGGAGTGCTCTACATGTCRGTCTTCATCCGGAGGGACCTCATCTGGTTTTGCTCAGGTGTGTGKTCTGGTGTGAGCTGGAGAGTGGGAAGTGATAGGGCTGCTGCCCTCGGGTGTCTGTCCMTTTCCCTGGCGCTCCCTTTCTCCCGACTTCCCTGCTCCCTGTCTCCAGAGGCCTCTCTGTAACAGCTGCTCCTGTCTTTTCTTGCAGAGGTGGAATATGCCACAGTGACCACTCGAATAGTGTCTCAGATCAAAACCAAGGGAGCGCTGGGGATCTGCTTCACGTTTTTTGGGACCTCCTTTCTCTTCATTACCTCCCACTTCACATGTGAGACATTTACAAGCTTGGTAGAAGTGTCCTCAGGGAGGGAGGAATGGGACAGCTTTACAAGAGCAAAAAGCTGCAGAGGGAATATAAAAATGAACTGTATGCATTTGTGTCCCTTTCTGCTCACTTGCTGTCATTGTCTTCGAGTTCCTTCTGCTCCCCTGATCAGGGAATTATGTTTTAAATGTTAAAAATGTCTAATATCCTTTGGATATTACTGTTATAATCAAAACTGGCAATGTTGCATCACTTTCATACTGGGGTTTCTGTCTTTCAGCTGGGGACAGTAAAGTGAATGAGAGGAAGATGGACTACAGTAAAACCATTCAAGCACTTGCACTTCCCAAGAATGTTCCGGACACAAATCCGTATCGATCCAGTTCTAGTAAGCACGAAACCTTGGTCGTGTGTGAGTGCAAGTGAACAGCATTTCTGTTTTGCCTTTTGCCCTGCACTGAGGAGACAGAATGGGCCTGCTTATCCAAGAGAGACAGTCTGAATGCCATCTGAAACTCTTGGCCACGTTTTTAGTGTTATTTCTTAATACTCTGTTGTTAACATCTAGACATATAACTAAGCTGTTGTTCTAGGAAGATGAGTTTATTCATCTTCAGAATAACTTTATGTTTCTCTGTTCAAACTATTTTTAGGCCTCACAAGTAAAGTTTGGTCTGTTTTTCAGACCAAAATTTTATTTTTCTTCTAAGAACCAGGGAAGAAAAGTTTTTCTTTTCTTTCTTTTTTTTCCCTGCCTTCAATTGTGTTCTGTACTGACACTCCTGGCTTGAATTTGCAGGCGATGTCACCACTCGGTTTGATGAAGTGTTCTGGTTTGGTGATTTCAACTTCCGACTAAATAAGGACCGTGAGGCTGTGGATTCCATCTTGAAGCAGAACCTGGAAAAGGACATGTCCAAACTACTGGAGTATGACCAGCTTATTAGTGAAATGAGTAGGGGTGAGGGACAGCTGTTTTTCTCCCTGGCCTCCAGGAACAAACTTTGCTAGGAACGTGAATATTCCCAGCCATTTTTCCAAAGACCTCCATTGCTTTCTATTATTAAGGTCACTTAAATAAAAGAGAAGGCAGCAGTTGTCCAGTCTGTTGACAGTCAATAGGAGGGACTTCTGCATTTTGCTGTGTGTGTTGTGTAAACTCCCAAGCAATTTGTTGCTCTTTTTTTCCTRTGTGCACCACTCTGCAGTTTCCAGTCAGCAATAGCTAAGCAGTGTTAAATAAGTGCACAGAGTGTGCCAGGTCTGTGGGAAAGGAGGCATTTGTTGCTCATGCTTTCTCCCCCCTCCTCTGCAGGGTCTATTTTCAAAGGATTCCAAGAAGCTGACATTCATTTCCGTCCTTCCTACAAGTTTGACATAGGAAAGGACAGCTACGACACCACTTCCAAACAAAGGACTCCTTCTTACACGGTAAGAGCTGTTTTCGGAGCAGCCTTCTCCAAAAGGCTGGCCAGCCACATGCGCCTCCAAAGGGGATTCCACATGGGTTGGAAAGCTCTCTTGGATGTGCTCCCTGCTGCAGTTGGGCTGCCTAAGATACAATTATAGAGAATTAATGTTCTGGGAATTAATAKAGCCCAAGGGCAACACGCTTACGGAGCGAGTTTGGGAGGAAGGATCGAGTGGGTGCCTGAGGGCAGTTCTGGCACAGATTGCTAGTCCAACTTTCCCCTCCCTTGCAGCCTGATACAGTGTATTATCCACTGTGCTCTGAGATGGAAACATACCTATTATTGAGACTGTGTCCCCTCAGTGTCTTTGGTGAGGATTCTTCATGAATTTATTCCCATCAAAGTCACTTAATTCCACTTGGGGGTGTGATCAGTGAACACATTTGTCACTTGTGAGTCAGTAACCTCTCCAATGAGAGCAAAGGGAGTTACCATCAGTTTCCCATCTCTCTCTGCCCCCCAGGATCGAGTCGTGTACCGGAGCCGGCACAAAGATGACATCCATGCTGTCAAGTACTCATCCTGTCCTGGGATCAAAACTTCGGACCACCGGCCTGTATTTGCCCTGTTCCGTGTGAAAGTGAGGCCTGGCAGAGACAAGTAAGTGTGCTAGTCGCGCCGTTCTGGCTGCAGTGCCCTGAGGAGAGGCTCCTGCTCAGCCTTTGTGCTCTCCCAAGAGTCCCCGAGTTGGAATTAGTCCCCAATGACTCTTTGCAGCCTGTTTTGTGTTTTATACAGTTTACTGTCAGTGGTCAGAGCAATTAAGAGCACTTAAACCACACAGTGCAGATCTGAAATCCCTGCTGCCATGTCCTTTAATCCATATGAGGAAGAAAATTGAGTCCATTGCAGTTTATTATGAATCTCTGTTTTATCTGAGATGCAGCTCTCACTGCTTCTCCTGTCAGCAGGGACAAATTTCCTTTTCTCTTCCTCTTTCCCCTTTCAGAATTAATTCTGTTTTCCCTTTTGAGAAATGATTGCCTTTTACCATGGTGTGTACAGCACCTTCAGATCTTCCAGGTGTCTTAACATCCCAGCTGTGGTGCTGGTAGTCACTAAAATTTAGTGAAAATCTTTTTCTGTGAGGAGCATGCTCAAGGAATTTGAGACCCAGGTATCTAGAAAAATGGTAATTCAGTTCACCTGTTCTGCCAGAGCAATAACTGGTGCTTCAAGAAGATGGGAATGACTTTTCTGGCCTTTGTCCTACAGCCTGGTTGGGCTGTAGGGAGCATGAGTTTGTGCCCTGATCCTGGTGCTTGTGTTTCTGTTGCAGCATTCCCCTTGCTGCGGGGCAGTTTGACAGAGAGCTCTATTTAATCGGAATAAAGAGACGGATTACAAGGGAACTGAAGAAACGGCAAGAGCAAAAGGACCAAAGATCCAGCAGCGTGTGTAGCATTTCCTGAGCCGAGGCCTCTGCAACGCTTGGGTTAGAGGGGCCTTAAAGAGGATTTCAGGCCACGACAGAGTCTGCGGGGAGTTGCTGTCTGGTTAAGCACCTCTGGCAGTTGCTGTGGCTTGGGAAGAATGTCCTAAACCTCACCCTGGATTCACCTGCATGAGCTAATCCACGCAGCTCAAGCGCTTTTGCTGAAGAAAAGGGAGGCAGTTATTTAGGACAAGCATACAAACGGACTCGGTTGGTTTGTTTTTAACCCTCCTTTCTCTGGAAGCAGCTCCACGCAGTCCCATTGTGGTAAGAGGACTGTGCACAGGGTGTGCAGCCCCTGGAATTGACAGTGCTGGCGGCAGATGACGTAAAATCCTGCAGCAAGGTGAAAACGTGGGTTTGTCCCATTTGGTCTGCTTTGTGTTCTCTTCCTTCTCTGCAGCCAAATGGATGGAATTCTGTAAAATGTTCAACGGGGACCAGTTAGGGAAGTTGAGCAGCTTTGTCTGAGAACAGTGTTCCCGGGTTGGGCTTTTGGGCCCTCTTGAGCAAGACCTCTGCGAATGCGCTCCTGTATGGTCCAAGGGTGCAAGCACTGCCTTCCATTCATTAGCTTATAGGCCTCCTGTGCTAAGGGGGTAAATATGAATTTCTCAAACTAGTAAATTCTTTCATTTTTGAGACTTTTGGAAACAATCCCTTCCTCCAATATTTGTCCTCCCTAAAGGTGAGAAAATTCTGCTTGGCCTTCAGCAGCAGAACACTGTTGTGGAGAACAGTGTGCTAAATACAGCTATTAAGTGATGCTCCACCAAAGTCGTTAGGATATTGACTACTAAGGAAGTATCCAAAGAAACTGCAGCAATCCAGATCAGCTTAATTCCATTCCCTCTGTTTCTATGAGCTAAGCCCCATTTGGGTTTATCTTCCAAATTCAGTAAACTGTGAATTAAGTACTGTTTTTCAAATAATGTCATCAAAATGTAAAGATATTACAGGCACCACCATGGAGCTGGTATAACTACAGTTAATGGTGGAAAAAAGTCTTTGTGGCCACAAAGTGGATGGATTAGTCATCTCCTACATGAAGCATTTGAAGGAAGTGCTGCTAACTATGCAACCTGTCCATGACAGAGCTTCTGTTCTGCGGTACAAATATTTACAGCATTGGCCTGTTGTAACCATCAGGTATCTGTATTTCCTTTCTTTTTAAAGGAATAAAAGTAAATTAATACTGTACCTTCCATGAGAGCCCTCTCCTGCTGCAGGGGTGTGAGGACTCGAGTGCTTGGCCCACGTGCTGCGTGTTGATGCCCTGCATGACCACGGTGGTGGTTTCCCTTCACCTGATGGGAACAGCTTTCTTGGGGACTAAAGTGCATCTCACCTGCCAGTTTAAGGAACCCACCGAGGCTGATGAACAGCAGAACTTCTTGCTAGTTAGCGCTCGCTGCGGTCATTTGGAAGTCTCTTTATTTGGAATTCTCTTTATTTTCTTTACAAACATACACAACCACTGCCTGGGATAGAGGTGTGAAGAGACTTCCCCAGTGTGGGCGCCCTCCTTTACTCCCGCTTGCATGAGGGGAGGTACAGGGTAGAGCAGACAGCAGCTGCCTCGGCTATTCTGCTCCAGCCCCATTGCTCCTTACAACAAGCACCAAGCCCATGAAATGCTGCCTTGTTAAGCCTAGAGGGGAGGAAGCCTCCTCTCGTATGGGCCACAGGTTCTCCACGAGGTCAAATGGGTTTCACCTAGCTTCATATCTCTGTAATGTGGCTTCATTATGGTTTTTTTCCCGCCTCACCTTGTTGACTCCCAGCTTAGCYCCATCTTTGCTGGGAGAGTGGCAGCTCTGGCTTTTGCTTAAAAGGCCTTAAATCATCTGAATGACAATTTGAAGATGGTAGAGTATAAACTTATGGTGCAGCAGCAACTCTTTTAATACCTTCCTGTTGGGGTAACAATTCTGGAGTAAAAGCAATTCCCGCTTTAGCATAATCCACTTGCAAGTGAGATAATCTAAAGAACAGGATTGTTTCCATTTAGAATACATGTCCACACGGAGTTATGCGAGTTATCTCCATATAGCGATTCCCAAGAACTATTTACACTCTAGGTCTTTTTTCCTTTGAGTTCGTTCTAGCAAAATTGCCAAGCCCTTTCCAGATATACGATTTCAGAGAGGATAACAGAAGCTAAGTCACACTGACARAATGATCCATGATTTTTGTAATGAAAAACTGGAATGCAGAGACCTTCTTGTCCAGATATGCAGGGATAATAACTAATATTTTCCAARTTAACTCTGAACAAGTAATTGTCCACCTTGGTAACAGCTACAAGTAGCTGGATTTGCATGTGTAAGACAAACCTTTCAACAGCATTTTCAGTCTAAGCCCCAAGGCTGCAGGCTGGCGGTGCAGCTCACTGGAGCCCAGCTGACTACCCGAGTCACCTCGTTAACTAACGAGCTCAGCAGCCAACAGCCACCCAGGCAAACCCTGCAAGGGCGCAGGGGAGGGAAGCRCCGGCTGCACCCAAGGGTGCCTCCAAAGGGGCAGCCCTGCCTGTGCCGCCCAAAGGGCTGGTCTTGCACTATGCCTTTGTGGTAACACTTGCTCCTTCTCAGATAGGTTCCTTTCACCTCCTGAGGGACATTCTGGCTTGCTGCGTTCTCCCCAGTGCCCAGAGAAGGCTGCATCCAGCCTCTTCTGCCCAAGATCTACTCAGAAGGTGAAAAACACTCATCCAGAGCCAGGATGCCTTACAAACCCACAACACTGAGCTCCTCACAGTCCAATATTCCTTTTTTTTTCAGCAGCTTGTTCAGCTGTAGCATAATCCCGTGTCTGCACAGCATGCCTGGAAAGGTACGGGGGGTTGCCGCAACGTTACAATCCAACGTGGGTTTTTTTTAAAAAACAAAACAAAACAAAACAAAACCAGAAGCAAGTTCGTGGCAGACGGCTGTGGCCCGTGTGGGTTTATCGGAAGAGCCGATAGAGCCGGGGGAGCCGCCCGTCCTTGCTGGAAAGCGCGGCCTGGATGTGCTCGTAACTGGGCAGATCCGTCAGGTCGCCCAGCGCCGCCACAGCTGGTTTGTTACGAAGCATCTTGGTGACCACTCTCTTGATGTCAGCGGGTTTGACGGCACCTGCGGACAAGAGCCCAAACTTACAACCATGTTTCAAACAGCAAGCAGCAGCCTTGCTGCGGTGCTGAGCCAGAGACCTGCCAGAAGAAGGTCTGGCTTTTCTTTTGGCTTTAGAAGACCAACCACTAGCTATGGCCCTTCTCTACCATGCCCATTTTCCCTTCCTTCTGGCAAACGAGTGCTGCACGAGCCTGCAAGCAGCTGGCAAGGTAAGTTTGAGCCATGCTGCTCTCTAAGGCAACTCATCTGCGCTGCAAGAGTCATCTCTGAGCTGCACTCCCAGAACGTAACCCCAGCCCAGCCCAGGGCAGGCCGAGTTTACTCACCGATGAGCGCGCAGAGCTCGTGAGGTAGTTTCCTTGTGTTCGTTGCCAGCACTTGCCTTCCCACGTCCTCGAAGATAACGGGCCGAGACTCCAGGTTCATCATGAGCATGGATTTCAGCTGCGTCTTTGCTCGCTCCAGTTCTACCTGCGAAAACGCAAATCCAGTAAGTGTTGAAGCAAGCGTGATCACTGCTCTCTAATACAAGATACCATCTATCCCTGGAAAAAAACGGACAGGTTGGTTTTAGTGCCACATTCTGCTCCGTGAAGGAGATGGATCTACAGGTACTGCATCATAAAAGGAAAAAAAAATAGTACTGGGACAACTGATAAACTTTTGTTAGCACACATCAGACTTTACGATTGAGCAATAGGTCTTTTAAAATAAAGATTTGCTATGAAAGGATACAGGACATTTAAAAATTTTGTAAACACTCTCCTCTATGGGTGTGTTGCTAAAATGACTATATTCTTTTGCAGACACGTGAAACACTCTTGTACAAAAACTCGTTATTGAGATTTGCTAAAATATAGTATTTCAGCTCAAAGACTATCTGCATAGATTCAAGCTATGTAACTAACCTCTCCCAGGGCTCCTGCCATTAGAATGAATTCTCTTGTAATGATTTCCACCATCTCTCGAACCTAGAAGAAACGGAAAATAKAAAGAAAATTAGAACAATGCTTAATTGTTTTCATAATGCAGTATAGTGTTCAGCAGCCAGTAGGAGCAGAAACTTCTTCCCTCTGGAGATMTAGCTTAGAAGATCTGAATGAACTGGGGAATATTCTGTTGGATTCCCATAGTTCTGCAGTTATAAAAAAGGCTCCACTGAATTAAACGATAAAATTCTACTATGCATAATGGACCCCATATGCATACACTGACTATTTGACAAAAGGAYCTGAATCCCTCGGCTCCTCCTGGCTTTTCTATATAGACACAYATGCCACTAATTTATCTCAGAGTATCAAAATTCTTTTCCTGTTACGATCTGCCAATAAGCAATGCAATTACTTTTYAAGGACATCTGCCTTTGGAGGCGGGAGGGCTCCGTACCTGTTTGGGATCTGCACTGGCGTGAATACACAGCAGACCCGTGTCTTCGTAGCTGTGGTGGTAAGAGGTTGCATTATACATCCAGTGGTGCCTGTGAGGACACAAACGATTCAGTGTCACAGAAGAAGAAARCAGTGAGTCCCCATAGCCTATTCTGAGGCTAGGGAGGAGGATTCTCAGCAGTGCTTAGGGGGATTATCAGTGCCTGCCTCCAGTATTTCCCTGTGACTCATCTACTGTACGTGCTCCCTTGAAACCACGTAGACAACAGTACAGAGCAGAATTACTGCCATCTATTGCCAATTCTGATTATATTCCCTAGTTAAGAGGATGGTTTAGACGGATGGAGGAAGGTAAGATTCTTGGTTACTTCTGCCCTGTTATTTTCACTCTCTCAAAATGCTCACTGACATATTGGTGCCATGTGTTTCAAGTAGAATAAGTYGATATGAAACCCAGGTATTTGGGGCTTTCAAAAGGCCAAGTCTTTCATGTGAGCGGGCTATGAGAAGGCTCACTCTTTGCTATCCCTTAAACAGGAAAGCCAACAAACCTGTTGAGCACATTGAGGTACAGGCGGGTGAACATGCCCTTGCCAGGCCCTCCAGCTGAAAAAGAGCCGCCGCCTCCCATCATCATGTTCAATACTGCAAAGGGGATGAAATCTTCCTCCTGAATAGCAATGAGAAAGTCAGTCAGCTAAGAGCAGAGACTCAGTAGGGCTCTCTAGGGGCAGGGATCAGTGAGGAAGAAAAAAAGAGGGAAAAAAATACATAGGAGCAGTGTAAAAATCAGTGTCTTTATCAAAGATGCACCTGGCCGGTGAAAGAACGACAGCAAATGCTGGCATTTGTAGTTGGTTTTAACAAATTTCCCAGCTTTGCAAAAAAAAAATTGTTCTATGAAAAAGCTGCCTTGCATCATTAGCAGCAAAACAGTGCCAATGAGATAGGACGTGGAATCCTTCAGGCACAAGGAACACGAAACAGTCAGTGTGGGCTTGATACTTACTAAAAACGAGCAGCTTTCCAGCCCAATCATGATGTGGGTAAGCTCGGGGATTGGTGTAGGGCCCAGGCTCACATCGGACATATCTTTTTCAACCTGTAGGAAGAGAAGACAACTTATTAGGACTGATTTGCACACATGTGCAGCTTGATATGCTCCGGATTATTCACTTGTTGCCCAAATGTTCGCTGCTACGGTCAGTTTTGGCTGCAGGTCTTTTACCTTCACGATACCTCCTGTGTACTGAGCCACAGATCTGTCAACGTCCTGTGTCTTGGCGCTGCCCCACACGGGCTCGACTCCAAGCAGGTATTTCCTGGCACATTCCACCAGCTGCTCGTGCTCGATGCCCACCCCGGCCAGCACCATCCTGTCTGGCGTGTAGTAGTTGCGCAGGTAGGAATGGAGAACGTCCCGAGTGATCTTGTCAGTGTTCTCTACTGGGCAGAACCTGTTCAGTCCAACTGTATTTTCTCTGTAGGCTGCCTAAGAGGAAACGGATGCTTTAAAAGGAACAAACATTACCTTGCCCCCTCAGTCTAAGCCTTTCTTTACATGCCAGATTTATGCCTACCTCACTGAGGCATGTAAGAGAGAACAGGCTGAGCATCAATTCACTTATGTCAGCACAAGTCAACAACACATTGTCACCCATGTAAATGAAGACAAGTTGTAGTTAGTTTAGGTTAGAAACCTTTCACGTGCACAGAATCTAGGATTTCAAAACGAAAGGACAACAAAACTCTCCTTTCTCCCACTGAAATCTATCTGAATAGCAGGGAAATCTGTTTGCAGAGCAGTCTAAAACAAACCCTGCAGATGAGGAAGCCAACGCAGCAGATACCACAGCGGGTGGTGTGTGCAAGAGAGCCCTGTCAGGGTGTTACCGCATGGATCATCTCTGTGAGCAGAGGCTCTGGATCAGGTCTCATATTCAAGTCTTCGAGCTCAAAGCGAATCGCCATTCGAGTCATCTCCATTTCCTCATCTATAACAAGAGGAAGCAGGATATAACGACCCCCACGCAAATTTCACAATTACATTAATTGCTAAATGAGAACTCTTTATCTAAGGAAGAATTCTGCAGTGCACTGAGCAAGCTGTGGCTCGGGAACGCTCCGAGACGAGGACCTACGTTCCCAGACCTGAAAACCTGGGCTGCAGCACCACATCGGCCAGCAGACTGACCACGGTGTCCAGGCCCTTGGCGTCGGCAGACACGGCGTACATGATGGTGTCCCTGCAACACAAGCACACGCGTTGGCCTTCCGGGCAGCAGCCACAGACCCGAGCGCTCAGCGGGCTGCAGGACACCACAGATAAAGCCCAGGGATGGCGAGCCACGAGGTGTCCTGAACACGAGACAGCTCTGATGCTCGTCACCCGCTCCCGAGGCCTCTCAGCAATTGCCACAAACAGCAGGTATTTTCCTGCTCTCCCACACCAGGACAGCAGAGACTCTCTAATCTCCGAATCCTGCCAATTCTTCAGCCCTGCAGGTAGCAGAGTGCAGAAAAAGGCCAGCCTACCTCGACGCCTGGCAGTCACAAATGCCCCCGTGTTTCTCCAAGGCGAGGAGGATTTCATCTTTGCTGGCAAACTGCGCTGAGGACTAAACACAAGAGAGTCACGAATCAGTCAAGTGGGAACTCGGCACGCGCGCGGGCCTGGGGCTTTTCTTTACAGTCCAACAGTTTGCTGAACATGCAGCAAATTTTGAGGTGAAACCATGCTTAATTTCGTGAATACAGTTTTAGCCATGGTAAGAACGTCTCCATGATGGGAAACGGTTCAAACCCACGTGGCTGCCGCGAGAGCAGCGCCGGCCTTTTATTTGCCGCTCCTGGGTGCTGCCGTTTGTGCTGACACCCACTTCATGGCATTTTTGCGTGCGTTTTGGGGGCGTTTACTTGTTTGGGGAATACGGATCTTTTGTGTGTAGCTTTTCTGGGCGTTTCTCGGTGCCCGGCGGCTCTTCCCCGCGGGTTCCGCGCCCCCGCACTCACGGAAAAGGCCAGCTTCTCCAAGAAGTGCGCGATGCCGCTGAGATGCCTGGCCTCGTGGCGGGACCCGGAGCTGACGAGCACTAGGAGGGAGCGGGGCCGTGAGCGGCGCGGCCGCGGCGGCGGGACCGGCCCGGCGCCGCCGCTACTCACGGCCCAGCGTGCAGAACTGCCCGAACTTGTTCTGCGAGGCGACGCGCAGCCCGTTCTCCAGCGCCGTGACGCGCGTCTCGAAGCGCTCGCGCCCGCCGGGCGCCGCGAACACGGGCTGCGGGGCGCCGGGCAGCGGCCGCGTGAGCGGCACCCCGCCGCCGTAGCAGCTCCGGCAGCACCTGCGGGCAGCGGCGGCCCCGTGAGCCCGGAGCGGGCAGCGCGGAGCCCCCCCGGCCCCGCTCCCGCCTCCCCCCCGCCCTCACCGCCGCGCCGGGCCCCACGCGCGGCCCCGCAGCCACGCCATGGCGGCCGCCATCTTGCCGGCGCGCTTCACTTCCGCCTCGGAGGGGAAGGAGCGGGAGACGGCGTGGGCGGGGCTTTCCCCGCAGCACCTCGCAATGGGCGGGCGGTGGGCAAGGAGGCGGGGCGATGGAGGAAGCATCCGATTGGATGAGCGGGGCTCCGCCCTCAGGGGAGGCGGGGCTTGTGCTGAGGGGAGGCCACGCCCCGCGCGGAGCGACCGCGGCGGCCATGGCGGCGGGTCCGGGTCCGGGTCCGGGTCCGGGGGGCTCGGCCGAGCCCAACCCGTTCTCGTTCCGCGAGTTCGTGCGCAGCCTCCGGGTGCCGCCCGGGCCCTGCCCCGGCCCCCGCGTCCCGGCGCCGCCGCACGACGACGAGAACGAAGAGTGGAGCGCGAGCTACCGGCCCTCGGCCGTGGAGCGGGCCCACCTGGCCGCGCAGCCCAGCTACGAGGAGGTGCGGCCCGGCCGCCCGCGTGGCGTAATCCCGGTTGGGCGCACGGGAAGGCCGGGGTGTCCTAATTCAAGGTTTCCCCAGCATTTCGGGGGAGGAGGTGGAATGCTCCGGTGCTTCCCGGGGTTGCAGGGCGTGGAAGTGCTGGGAAACCGTCACTCACTCACAATGACGATCGTTTTATTTCCTAGCTGCGAGAAGAGAATGCCAGTTTGAGAAGCGAGATCAATAAGCTCCAGGTTCTCTCCGAAATGCAGGCGGACRAGTGCGTAAGCCGCAGCATGGGGGAAACTAACCACGTAAACAAGCTCTCTTAGAAGAGGTGCTCGCTCTCGAGGGAGCTGATGGTGGAGGGAGCTGACGTCTTTAAAAAAAGGAAAAACGTTATTGAAATCTGTTTAGAAGCTTGATTCTAATAAAGCTGCTTTTTTTTGTAGAAAAACACTTTGGGAATAAGTAGCAGCTGGCGTTTGCTCAGCACATTTAGTGGCATCATTTTATATGGGTAGTGTGAATGTGGATGCGGCTTGAGAGGAAGCGTTTCATAAAGCTTCARATTAGCAAAGTAATGAATCTTTATTGTTCTCTTTTGAAACAAAAACTACTTGTTGTTGTTGTTGCTGAGCAGCTTGATACCAGGAGGTTTTCCCAAAGTTAAAYAGTCCAGACACTGATCTGAAGTTGGACTTTCTTAAGTTCCCACCCAAGCTCTCTGCATTGCATCGTGCTGGTAACAAGGCAGCTGCTACGTTCGTGGTGAGGGGTGGCTCATTSACAACACAACCTTCCCTAGGCTGATTGTGAATATATACGTTCTCTGTACAGCCCTTCTGGGTTCAGCTCTATAATTTCCATTAACATAAGTGAACATGGAGCAAAGAAATCCCCCCAAGCCACAGCCTAGATGTTTACTTCTATGGGAAAAGTTCATTTTCGTATAACGTGGACAAAGGGGAATTTGATGTTACAAGTGCTGATTGCATTTTGTCTTTTTTTAAGGATGAGAAAGCTTGAAAGAAAGCTTGAGGAAAATAAAATTAAAGAAGAAAAAGAAGCTCAAGATCTAGAAGCAATGGTGCAGCACGTGGAACAGAATCTCCAACTGATGACCGTAGGTGTTTGCTAAACACAAATCATGTTGCTTCAAGCAGTGTGTTGGAATCGTCCATTCCTGTCTTGCTTGAATTGCCTCAAACCTCAATCAGTGCTGTGATTATAAATATATATTTTTTTTCCATTTCAGAAACGAGCCGTTAAAGCGGAGAACAGTGCTACGAAACTGAAGCAGGAAAATGCCTTACTACAGGTGTGAAACACTATTCCTAAGGCCTTACTGAATGTACTTGACTGAAAACATTGATCTTTAAATGTAGCCCCAAAAAAGTCTGGGGAGAAATTTTGTTAGGTTTCTGCCCRTTAGTTGCTGTGTCCTGTTTAAAGTGTGTAAAGGAAGGGGCTTTTTGTTGTTGTTATTTTCATGTAATGTGTTTTTTTTCCTGTTGTTGTTGCTTTTTCCCTTGTCAAGGCTCAGCTGAAAAAATACAAAACAGAAAACGAAGCTCTCAGGTCAGGCCATTCTGCTAGTCTGGCCATAATGAAACAAAACGCAGATATTGCCCTACGGAACCTCCTCACGGTTATAACAAATTCCCAGTCTTCAATAAAGTAAGTTATTTTAAAAAGYCTCATCCAACTCTGTCCCAGATGCTCATCAAAATACTAATGCAAAGGGCAGCTTTGAACTTCCCSAGTGATTTTATTTGCAGGATTGAARTGTGGGGTCTTGYRKTCTRTTCCTTATCTGTGTATTATTAGTCTTATAGTTTAGACAACTGTGTTTTTTAGAAATACTTGTCTTAGGTGTGTTTGTTTGCTTGTTTTTTACTTAATTTAAAAACTTTTTTTGTGTGTTTTTTCTCCCTTCAGTCCAGTTGGCACTGCTTTGACTTTTCAAGTTGGCACTTGACTTTCAAGTCAAGTTGAAAGTGATGGATAAACAGTGCATGGATAGCAGCGTATCCGCCCAGTGCCTGGGCATCTTGTGCTTTGTGCAAAGTGCTTTGGCCTTTTTCCTAAAGGTGAAACTAATACGGTGTTTCTCCTGYTGTAGGCAGTTGGTCTCTGGAGCAGAATCATTGCAGCTTGTTGCCGAGCTCCTTAAATCGATAGACAAAATTTCAGAAATTCCAGATGATGGACAGTAAAGACACAAAAACGGACTTGGATGCAGAGCTCTGAAGGCCCAACGTAGGGACTGTTTTTGCCGATGGATGACACTGTGTCGCATCCCACTGCAGAGCTGGCATTTCTGCCTCGACGGGACCGCCGAGGCCTTCGAGACCAAGGACTGTGGCCGTTCTTTGGCCAGGCTGGGACCCAGGACACTCTTCCCTTCGCGGGGGCGTCCCGCCAGCCCCGCGTTTGTTTTGGCGCGCCTCGGGACCGGCGCCACGTGCGGCGGCGCGCCGGCGGGAAACACGCCCCGCCCTCCCGCCGCCCCATTGGCCACGTCGCGTCACGTGCGTGGCGGCCCCTCACGTGAGCGCGGCTGCCGGCGGTGATTGGGCGCGGGGCGGGGCTCGGCGGTGGCCGTGAGGCGGCGGCGCCGCCATGTCGGGCAGGCCGGGCCCGGCCGGGGCCCCGCGGCCGCGCGATGGCGCCGCCCGCGACCTGCACGCGGAGCGCGAGAGGATCCGCAGGGAGATCGAGGAGCTGGAGCGCAGCCTGGAGCCCGGCGGAGCGGCGGGGGCCGCGTGCGGCCTCAGCTCCGGCACGGGTAGGGCCCCCGCGCTCCCCGGGCTCGCGGCGGCGCCGGGAGCTCTGCCAGACGGCGCGGGAGCTGCCAATAAACGGGGGTGGCCGCGGGGGCCGCGCGGTCCCCGCCGGGCTCTCCGTGACCGCTGCGACGTGATTTGACCCGTCCGTGTAGGCAGCGCCTCGGTGTGAGCCTCGCGGCTCCTAAAATCCCGTTTCCRTAGCGGAAACCGTCCCAGCTGGGGACCGTTAACTGCTGGTTAACGGCCCTAGCGCTCGTACCTGTGGCTGTCACAACCTCCGCACCCCGGCGCGTTCCCGTCCTGCCAGCCCCAGGGCTCCCCAGTCGCTGCAGAAACCCGGCGTCGCTGCAGGGTGTGCGAGGGCTGCCGCCTTCCAGTTGGGTTTTACCGGTTTGGAGCACTTATTGTGCTCAGCACCCTGGAATCCCTGCGCTGCCCTTGAGCTCTAAGAGCAGCAAGGGGCTGTGGTCACCAGGAGCTGCTCTGCTGACAGCCCTAGAGCAAAAAAGCGGCCGTGTGGATTATAACCGAGTCTCAGCTCTGTCTGACACGTTGGTAGTACCTGAAAGCCCTAATGGCCCTCTCTGAGAGACCCTATGGTGTTTTATTCTGCATGTGTTCATTGAAAAGCCTGTATTTTTAAAGCTGTCTCTTTTTCACTGCAACCAGCATATGTGTTTTCGTTGTCTAACAGATGACGATGATGATGTTGAAGATGATGACTCAGATTCCCAGGCTGAAACGGTAACCTTTTAACCATGASCTCTGTCTGCCCATTGGAGGGTGCAGGCAGCAAAGGGATGGGAATTTTCATGCTGTTTGGGGGGAAATCTGGGTAACTGGGTAATAGTGAAGCACGTGATAATAAAATGTACAAGGAGAAAACCGCTTCAGTTAGAAGTACAAATGAGGTGGAAATCTTGAGAGGATGGTGCTGCCTTGGCAGGTGGGAGGGCCCCAGTCCTACTGTTTTTGCAGTTTATTTGCAGTTCTGCAGTTGATGGCACAGAGCTCTTGGCAAGGTTTGGATTCAGGCTCTGTGGCTCAAGTATGAGACTAAAATAAGTAGAAAGAAGGGAGTTRGACAAGGCAGAAATAAGCAGGAAGACAGGAGCTAGAGAAGGCTGACTGCTCAGGTCCAATTCTTCTGAAAACTGTTTTTCTAACATAATTGAAACTTTGGGTTAAATAATTATCATGCTGTGTTGCTTTTAAAACACACATTTCTTTTTTTAATGGCATTCTATAACATCTTACTCGCCTCAAGGAAGGGGAGAGGGAAGAGGACAGTAGTGATGATGATATCGAAAACAGTCTCCCAGAAGATCCAGAAACTTGTCTGCAGATGAACCACGTGTACCAGGAGGTTATCCAGGAGAAGATTGAGGAAGTTGAACTTTTGATTGCCCAAAACAGAGAACAGCAGGTAAGTGAAACAGGACTAAAATGCTGTTCCTTGTGCTCTTCTGGATTGCCTTTAGCATCTTCCTCTGCCCTTCAAGTCCACTAAAACCTCCCAGAACCTGCTGAGTACATCCYGGGTCCCATTGGAATCGGCTGCAGGAGGTGGCTCTCTGTGTGTCCTGCTGCAGTGACCAGTTTGCTGGGCAGGGAGCTGGAAGACTTGAGTTAACTTCTTCCAGGCAGGTCAAACCCAGGGCACCTGACTGGCCCTTCAAATGGCTTGTGCTCCTCCTCCAACATCCTTGTTTTGTTACCAAAAACGCTGCAACAAGAGTATTTTATATATTGCATTTAGCTTGTTATAGCGATTTTTTTTTTTTAATTCTCAATTGCCTTATATAAACTTGTTAAGTTTGAAAGCCCATGCCCAAAGAGATGCTCTCGTACCCTTCCCTAATTTTTGTATTGTAGAAGGAAATCACGTGGGAACTTGGTGGTCCAAAGCCAGCAAAAGCAGGAGATGGTAGAAGCTTGCCATCGAATATATTTCTAGGTCACTTTATGAAGCCATACTTTAAGGATAAAACAACAGGAATTGTAAGTAAATGTAGCTGTGTTCCATATTGTGTTTTTTTATATATGTATGTGTGTATATATATACAGTATAGCAATAGACTTAGGTTTTGCCTTGAGTTCTCTGCTGAGTGAATGTTACTGAACTGAAAATCCRTTACATCATGTCAGTTCACTGTCTTCTGACTGCAAAAATCTTGCTGCAGTTGCGTTTGTCAGGATGATATGATCAACAAGAGTTGAAGTAGTCGGGATAATTTTTGTGTGACATGGAGAGAATGCAAACGTACCATTTTGAAATATTTGTTTAAGCCACTCACTGTCTCACTGTAAAATCTCAAGCAAACTCTGAGGAGCGACATTCCAACCATAAAGCAGCTGAGTGTTGTTTTTAATGATTATTTCCATGACCAATTCTACATTGTTGCTTCATTTCTCATTGAAACCTGTCTGTCTCTGGAACAGACTGCTTTTCTGTGTTTGTATTTTTAAGGATCTCTGGCAAAAGGGCCATCATAATTCTTAGTTGTAGCTAAGATATCAGTTATCGCTACACACATTAATAGAATTTTCAAGGAATAACTGGTAACTGTGGTGTTCATTCTTACCTGTGGTGATAGTGTGGACTGAGCTGGCACAACCATATGGACTCACGTTCAAAGTGCCTCCTCAGTCAACTCTCAGCTAACGTGAGCAGGCTGCAAACATGCCTGAAGTTCCTCTGTGTATKTGTTTCTGCTTATTTGATAATGTCTTCTGGAATATATGTGAATCGTATTCATGAAGGTAACCTACCAGTTTGATAGTTTTGCACAAGTTAGTTTCTAGTCTTTTTTTGTAGCTCATGTTATACGTCTAAAGAATAACAGCCATTTCTCTGGGTATCTGACTCTTCTAATACCCTTTTTAATCTTTGCTAGGGCCCTCCATCCAATGAAGATGCCAAGGAAAAGGCAGCTCAAGGCATAAAATCCTTTGAACAACTAATTGCAACAAAATGTAAGGAACGGTATCTGCTGCTGGGTGCTCTAAAGGAACTATAACAACTGGATATATTCATATTGTTAGCCTTTTTTCCCTTCTGCCTTCCATCTGTGGTGGAACATGAGCACTTCTGATATTCCATGCTTAGATCCACAGGAAAAAAAAAATGGTTAAGAGTAAATGGGATGTTGTAGGAATTGTTTCACTGTCAGGTGGGGAGGACGGTCTGTTTATCTAGCTCCTGATAGCACCTCTGCCCTTATGGTTAGCCACAAAAATGTGTAGCTAATGAGCAGGATACTTTAAAATGGATGTTGAAAGCAGTGGATCTCCCTCTTCCTTGGAAATAATGACTGAACTGAGATTGTGTTGTTGCCTTTAGGGAAAAGCAGAGAAAAGACGTTATTGCACCAATCAATAGTAAGCGACCGCTTGCAGCGCCTCCTTCAGCCCAAGTTACTGAAGTAAGTACTGTGCAGAAAATTCCTTGGGGAGAATGCTGCATCTGCAGGAAAGGAGAGTGTATATGAGGAGATTTAACCTCCCTTCAGCACATTTTTGGGTTGTCAACACAAACCATTTCTCCCCTACTTCTTCTTTTGCCATTGACCTTGTTCTCACCTCGCCGTGCTAAGTAATAATGAAATTGTCTTTGTGCAGGTTGGAGTACTGGAACCAGAAGCTGGCAAAAGTCAAGACAGAAATTGAGAAGCAGATCTTGGAAAAGCAAATCAAAGAAGCAGAACGAGAAATAGAGGCAATTAAGTGAGAAGTCATCTTTTTATGTTATYTGTGATGGTGTGTTCTTGGAGGTTACTTCCTTGAACACTTCTGGATGAGGCCTTTGGAGAAAACTTTCTTTGTGTTGGCTTGTAAGAGCTTAATAAATGTTTAAACTCCTCAGAGCTCTCATTTTGACAACTTTTCACTAAATATTAATGTTTTGGATCTTGATACACGAATGTGATGCAGTTATTGCAGAGGTGCTGCTTGAACCAGTCCTTGATTTAGCAGCAAGGAGGCAGAGGGCTCTGAGAATTCTCAGTTCTGAGAGTTCTGAGTTTTGCCACTAGGAAACTGTATTTCAGTGTTATCCTTGCTTATACTTGAGTAAAAGCAATTGAGTAAATCCAGTAAGGAAGAAACCTAGTTTCTGTTGAAACAACTTTGCTTCTGTTGAGCCAAGTTACTCATTTTTTTTACAGCCTGATGCTGTGAGGTAGTAAGTCTTCATTTCCCATGAAAATCAGTAAGAGTTGAGAGGAATAAGAGGGAATGACATTGGATAGAGAAACTGACTGTTCAATTAACATTTTTATGTGGTTTCYTCTTTCTCTCTTTTTCGTGCCTGGCTTCTTTAGCCAACTCCCCGAAAGTGACTTGCTGGGAAGCAGGTTTGATGAGCATGACTGGGATAAGATTTCAAACATCCATGTAAGTTCAAAGATCTGCTATTTTATTTATTCTGACATTTATCTCTCCTCTCTTGAGAGCTACCTACTAGGCTTACTTTGCAACCACTGTTTTCATTGCAAGCTTCCAGAATTTACTTGTTGTATGATTTCAACTTGACAAGAACATTAGTACKTAAAATTTGATGCCATTGCTTAAATTTGGTGTTTTTATTCTACAAAATTGAGCAATTAAGGCACATAGTGKACAAAATGTGTTCTTTGTATTAGTGTTTCAGTCCCAGCTGCAAAACAAAGCTGACTTTGCTGTTTCTCATAGTTTGATGGGCATCGTAATTCCGAAGAATTGAGGAAATTTTGGCAAAATTGGGAGCATCCGAGCATCAACAAAACAGAATGGAGTGAGGAGGAAATCGAGAAGCTGAAGGAAATAGCTGCTAACCACAACTATCTGCACTGGGAGACTATAGCCCAGGAACTGGGGGTAAGGTGTTACGAGCTCATAAATAAGAAGTAAGGTCAAAAGCTGGTTCTGGGTTAAATGTGCCTCATGTCAACTTCTTGGAAAACTAAAGTTAATGCTAATTCTTTGTTCAGAAATACTCTCTGAGAAGCCTTCAAATACAATACTAGAATAAAATACCTTCTACATGATGAATTAGCTTAAACATTTCTGGTTTTAGGCTGTAAGTGRAGGTTTTATAATCGTTGATGCTTCAGAGCTTTTCGTGGCACCAAAAATAAGTTTGTCCTCTGAAGTTTTTCATCGTAAATACCCACAGTTCAGTGAGGAGCTTTGTTTTCCTCGTGTTAAGACAAACAGGACCGCCTTCCAGTGCCTGCAGAAGTACCAGGCCTATAACAAAGACTTGAAAAGGAAGGAATGGACCAAAGAAGAAGACCGGATGCTTGCAGATCTCATTCAGGAGATGAGAGTTGGAAGTCATATCCCATACAAGAAAAGTAAGTGACATTAAGTGACATACAACTGAGAACTAATCACCTGTGATGGTCCTCTGGTTCTTTTTATTTTCCCCTGGTCTCGCAAACTTACATCTGTGAAGGGTTTTTGCCTGCTAGAATACCTGGTCTGCTCTGTTTCAAAGAGCTGACGAAGCCCCATTTCCTGTGAATGCTGCTGTTGGCCAGTCTTGAAACTATTTATATATTGACTGCTGGAAGTCCCGTGATTCTTTAAAATATTTAACAGAGATTGAATACTTACAGTGCAAGTAAATGAAGAAACGCTGTCTGCAACAGACTTTAATATATGCTTTTAAATTTCTAGTTGCTTATTACATGGAAGGAAGAGATTCTACCCAGCTGATTTACCGATGGACAAAGAGCGTGGATCCCAGTTTGAAGAAAGGACCCTGGACACCAGAGGAAGATGCTGTAAGCTCCTTGCTCTGATACGTAGAATGTGAAAAGTTAGGTTGCTGTGGTGTTGCATATATGTGTTTAGTAGTTTAAACTTTAATAGTGACACGAAAGAATGTGGAATGGCCCAAGACATGTAGTTCGCGGATCAGGAGAGCTTACAAGCTCCCAAACACTTCTCTTGTCAGATTTATTGCACAGGGAAGTCTGTTGAACTGCTTTTGTCTCAGGTCTGCCAGCCTTATTAGTGATGAAAATTTCAACTCTTGCTTTGTCTGATTAACCTAGATGTTGTTGGCTGCAGTTAAGAAGTATGGAGCCCGTGACTGGTACAAAATTCGGACAGAAGTACCAGGAAGAAGCGATGCTCAGTGCAGAGATCGGTCAGTATGCTCAACGTAGYAGCTGGGCTTCCAAGTTTGTTGTCAAGAACCACGGTGCAATTTATTTCACAAAGCTGTTGGATTTGCTTATACCAAACAAAGAGATCATCAAGCTTGAATGAGGGAAGGTGGGAAAGAAGTCTGTGTTTCTGTGAAACTGATCTAGTTGATCACTGCCTATGACTGAACACCAACAGTGAGAGAGGGGCTGAGTGATTTCCAGCATAGGAGCAGACCTAAGGAAACTACTGGTGTCGTTTGTCCCAATGCCAGCAACCTGTTTTACAGCTGCCTGTAATTCTTATTCACGTGGCCTGGTATTTTTGAGAACAGAAGGGACTGTAGAGGTGCTGATTAAGGGAGTAGGTTTGGATCCCATAGCAAGARGACAGACCTGATGAGACTCGATTTCTTTGTTCAGCCTTAGATTATGCTCTGACCAGAACTGTACAGGCAGGGTTGAATGATCTTTGCTTTAATGCTTTCATTTTGAAGGTACTTAAAAGCATTGCACTGTGATGTAAAGAAAGGCAAATGGAGTTTGGAGGAAGAGGAGCAGCTAATTGAACTGGTGGAAAAGCATGGTCTGGGTAAGTGTTACTATGGCTTAATCTCTACAATTTTAACTTAATTTTGAGTTGCCTTCCTTTCTATTTGAATTTAAAATGTGTGGCCGACATTAGCAGTCTCTACATCCTACTGATATCTGATTTTATTTTTTTATATAATCTGTTTCTGGAAAATCGGTTGTTGAGGGCCTGTGTAATAGAATCTGTAGCCATTTGTTGTAGCTTTTGTTTTTTAGGGAAGGAATAGTTTCATCAGACTGTGTAGTTCTAATTGGTCTGCCCTGCTTTGCATCCTTTATAGGTCACTGGAGCAAAATAGCTTCTGAACTGCCGCATCGGACTGGCTCCCAGTGTCTGAGCAAGTGGAAACTCATGATTGGGTCTAAGGTATTGTAAAAATGCACTTGTCTTTTTCTTCTGCATGTACTAGGTCTTAGCTCTAGCTTGTCTCCACCAGTAGCTTTTTCTTTGCCTACAAAAGTCTAAAACAATTGCAAGGTGGGTCCAGAAGCAATTGTGAATTGTACTGGATTTGTTTAATCTTAGAAACAAAGCAGAACCATCCATTTAGAGACTACAGCTTACTGACAGGATACAGCCCTTCAAAGCTTTCTAACTTTGTGCCTTTAGTACTAATTTGAGAGTTCTGCAGGTCAGGGCATTGGCTAAGGCTTGTTTTGTGCTCTCTTTAAATAAGGAAAAACGATCTAGGCTACGGAAACACCAATACGGGCGCAGAGAGAGTTCCAGCTCTCCGGAGASTAGCAGTGAAGACACAGAAGAAGAACTGGAGATAACGGAAAGCTCCGAGGAGGAGACAGAGGAGAAGGAGGAGGAGGAGGAGGAGTGTGTGGTTCCTGCCATTGACTTGTGGATACCRACACGGACAGACCCCCAGGGGTCAAACCAAGGAAGATCCCAAACTTCATCCCTTTTCCCTTATACGAGCGCTGAGGCGAAGATGGGGAGCAGCGACATTCCCGGCGCAGTGTCTGAGGAAGGCAAAGACGGAGTTGCCAGTAAATCAGCAGAGCTGAACACCATCCTGAGGGGCATGGCGCATCCGCACTCCTCCGACATCAGTGTGAAGAATCCCCTCGAAGAAGTGACCAAGGTGAATATGGGGACTCGATCTGTTGTGGATGGGGTTGGAGCTTAGACCAAAAGCCACCAGGAAGTGCAGGTGCTGACTTTGATCTGTGTTTTAATCCCAGATTTGCACTGAACAAATACCAGCCTTGCGCACACAAGTATCAGATACTTTCCTTTTCATCCCATTTCTTATGCTTTCTAGGCTTCCAGATGTGGCAAACAAGTGCTGCGGGTTTCCCTGGAGAATGTGAGAAAAGTACTAAGAAAAAACACATACTTTCAGAGGAAACATGTAAGTGTGTTATCTTGTCTGCCTGTCTGTTTATAATGGGAAATACTGTTTGATGGAATTATCAAATCCTGGGCTTTGGTCAAAGAGGAAAAGCTCATAATTTTCATTGTGCAGTCCAGAGTCCTGTGACTAGACTGTCCCAGGAGTCATTACAGTAGAACTTTCTTGATTGGAACCCTAACTGCTTGTTTATTCATGGACAGCAATCAAAGATAGTAAAACCTTCTGCCACCACTTCAACAGAAGCACCCGGAGTTAGTAGAGCTGTTGGCCAGGGGCCTCGGGGCCTGCCGAACAGCATGGAGAAAGCTTATCGTCAAGAGAGAGAGCGTTGGAGAAGAATTAACCTTGACAGGAGGCTCCTCATGGCAGTGACACCTTGGGTGGGCAATGTACTGCTGCCATACACCCTGCAGACCGGGAAGATGGCTTTTCATCACACTAAAGGTAGAGGGGACTCATTGGGGCACGTTAGGGACCTCCTGCGTCTTGCCCCTGCTTTCTGGTGTCTTGTAAATGAACGTCCAGCTAATTTTCACGTTGGGCTCTTTTTCTAGCTGAAGCCATTCAAGAGAAGATGAGGTCCATCAGTCTCACGAGCACTCCCCTGTTCACACTTTTCATTCAGGTAGGTTTTACTGTCTTAATCATGTTCCCTACTTTAGAACAATGATCTTTATTTCTTTATGCTGAAACAAATAGTTTCTCTTTGACTTAAACTGTTCATGTAGTTACTAGAAAAGTCTGTCCTCTTGACATACCTGTGATATTTCTTACATCCTATGCCCAAAGTGTAATACTGTCAGGAATATCTCTAAGTCCCCAAAGAATGTCCCAAAATTGTTCATGTGAAGYCTTCTCCCATTCATCTTGTCTTCTCTCCAGCTCCACCAGAAGGTCTTTGTTCTGAATCAGGCTTTAAGACAAGTCTCATCTTGCAGCTCTTTCAGATTGATACCAATGGTTGCATGAAGGTTATTCGTGAGAGAAAGCTAAGGCAGTTGGAGCTCGTTAAGGCCAATGTGCGAAGGCCTCAGCAGGTACTGCACGTGCTCCTATTGCTCATCCTTTTTCTGATTAAGCTTTGATTCAAGTAGACATTTTTGCCTGCCTGTGGCAAGTGGTGCTGCTTGTGTGCATGGGTTACCTGCTTCTTTAAAGTGCAATAAAATGATGATGTGGTCAGTTGTGTAGGATGTTGGTAGGTGTGGGGTGGATTTGTGTCTATGCTGTTTTAATGATGTTTAGTTATCTCAGAGTATAATTTATTCTGATTTTTTGGCAGGTTTCCCAAAATGTGGAGACTTCTTCAGGTACTTATCAGAACATTTTGTTCTGTTGTTTTTATTTACTTGTTTTTATTAAGACTTTAGAAGCCATTCTTCATTTTTTGCTCTTTGAAAATGCAACTCAAACTCTTCCTGACATTTTTTTCCCTCTCCTGACCCTTTCCAGGTGATTCATCACACCCTTGTGCTCAGAGGCCCTCCCAAAAGGGGATACCGAAGAACACGGTCAGGAGACCCGTGGTCTTAAAATCAAGAAACTCATCCGTAGCTGTGCTGGACGCCCTTGCCACGCAGGCAGCTCTGCCAACCCAGGTTCAAAGGCAAAAGCCAAAAACTGTCTCGGAATTGCTGAGGGAGAAGCGGCTGAGGGAATCCAGGGCTAGTAAATCCGTTCAGAGGCCAGTGTTTGTTGCCCCACCGATGCTGGTTTCGGGGCCTATGATAATCCCGCGTCCACCGCACCACATCATTCCTTCTGCACAAGTAGGGAAGCAACTTGGAGCAGCTGCTTGTAGCAGTAGCCAAGTACAGCACGTTCCTCTGCCAGCAGTAACTTCAGTTGCAGGTTCAGCTTCTAGCACCGTTGTGCTGGAAAACCATTCCTCTCCAGGACTAGCCCCTGTGCAAAGCCCTGGCTCCTCCCAAGCAACAGAAGTGGAAGCCAGCAAGGAACTAAGTGAGCAAACCATTGGAAATAGCCCCGGTGGAGGGGGTTTTCCAGCCACGGGTCCAGCTACAGTGCAGAAGGCCCCAAATTTGGGAGGGGGCGGTGTTCAGCTTGCAGCTGGTAGCTCAGCTCCAGTAGTRCTGCAGAACCAAGCTTTTGTGCCACAAATTACAGTGGTCCCTGTTGGCATCGAGTCTGGCAACCAGAACTTGTCTCTGTGCCCGCCAGGGCCCTGCAAGCTGAATGGTGACGGGTCCCAGCAGAGGCCACTCAACCTGCTGCCCACCCTGGTGACGGCCCAGCCTGGTTCCCACGTGGTGACTAACAGCGTTTTGCCCATCACGTGGGTCGTAGCACCCCAGGCCCTGCTTTCCAATCCCTTGCAGACCGTGGTGGGTGTTCAGGGGCTGCTAGCTGCTGCTGCGAGAAGCCAGAGTCAGGCAGGAGTGACTTCCAAYGGGAGCAGTTCCGGTGGTTTGGGAGCAGCTGCTGTGCCAGGAGGGGGAAGTGTGTCCCCCGCTAGCTCTACAGGGACGGAGGCTGCAGGTCCAGCGCTGGCTGCAGGGCCGCTCTTGGGAAAAGCTGTTGGTTTGAACCATTCCATGCTGCTCTTGCCTGCAACCTCAGCCAACCCTGGATGCCGCTCGCTGAATGCGGCCGCAACACCTGCGTGCCCCGATGGCTTCTCCAAAGCTTCTGACTCCTCTGCAGCTCRGGCTGCTTTTCCAGCTGATGGACCAACCTTGCACACTGCGGTGCTGCCTCAGATGCAGCCCCCTGCAAGCACCCAAGGGTCCCATTCCCACTGTGTGCCAAGTGCCACGCCATCTACCCCAGCCGTCACCRGGAAAGCAACCGGGCTGCAGCCAAGAGATGCAGTTCCTCAGAGCAGCGCCCCAGGAACCCCCCATGGCATTGCAGCTCGAGTAGGGAAGAACAGACCCCTTGCCTGCAAACCCCCAGCAGAGCGGCCACCCCGGCCAGCGACCTCCAGCGCGGAAAAGAACCCGCTCGACTGGAGCCTCATTTCCCTGGAGGACGAGGCACGAGTGAAGGAGTGGCTGAGTGGGAAGCAAGGYGTCCAGGTCCCCTCGCTGCAGACCAGGCTGCCTTATTTGCCACCTTTTCTGTGCAATCTAAAAACCCTTTCAAAGCTCCTTCTGCAGAAGGCAGCTTTGGAAGAGCGAGCAGCGTGTCTTTTGCCGGCTGATTCAAGTCGGGATGAGGAGCCTAGGGATAACTTGGAAGCTATCAGAGAACTGGTGGAGCAGAAACTTGGTGACAACCCTGCTTATCTCCTGCTAAAAGCCAGATTCCTGGCAGCATTTACGCTCCCAGCAGTGCTAGCAACTCTGCCTCCTCCCAAAGTGACAACGACCCTGTCTGTGAGCAGAAGGGAATACAACGAGAGCGATGAAGAGGAGTGGCAGAGCGGGAAGGATGAAGCAGGTGAAGGGAGCTGTGGGGAAGACTTGCAGGGTGAACAGCTGGATGGGGCAGCTGGTGCTGAGCCTGGACACCGCGATGCTGACTTCTCAAATCAGGTAAAATGGAGCTCTTGGATGTTAAAAGCAGAAGGTTGCTGTTCGCTCAGCATCATTCCCACCGTAATCCAAGGAGAAAGTCCTTGATCTCAGTGGGACGGAATTCTGGCCCTTAAAGGTTCTCTGGAATAAGAACAGTTTTGCAGCTGATAAAAGCTTGAAAATTGGAGCTTCCCCATAGTGGAAACCAGCAGTAGCTGCTCCTGTGCCTCTGATTCCGTCATCTGGGTCAAGCTCAGGGTGGTCCGAGCAGCTGGTCCAAAAGTCACAATTTCCCACTGTCTGGTGGCCTTTCCAGACTCGCTGCCAATGTCAGCCCTGCGTCGTCCTCGACCCGGTTTCCTTCTACCCTGTTTTGTAGATAACTTTAAGTAAGCAACATTATAGTTGGTCAGTGAGAAATCTGAGGTGAGAGCGTGGTCCATGAGAAATGTCAGCTGCTGTTGGCTGGTGTTTTGCTCTGAAAGAGGATGCACTTGGGGTGCTTTGTGCTTGCTGGGACCCTGGTGACACAGCTTAATTCAGAGTGTGAATGGGGAGATTGGTTTGAAAATCTTGCTGAGCACCCTGCAATAAAAAGATGGTTTAATGGGTTTTCTTGCCAAGTGTACCAAGTTCTAGTGAAGAGAGTGTCTTCTTTTTGTGCTGCAGGACATGGAGACCGATGAGGTGGCTTCCCAGGGCTCCTGCACTGATGCGACCGCTGCCAGCGCTCCTCAAATCAGGAGAAGTGCCCGCTTCAGGAAAAGGAAGAGGACGGGAGAGGCAACGTGTTAGTAACTGCTCTGTGACTCTTGTATTTCTGCGTTGGTTTGGGGACAGGACCCCCTGATGAGCTGTGTGTGGGAAGAGGCGCATGTGTGTGAGCCCTGAACACCTGCAGGAGAAGCCAAAGGAAATTCCCAGAGCAGATTCCTGCAGGAGCTCCTGGAGCTCCTTGCTCTGGGTTGTCCGCTGATCTCATTGCCCTGTGCAGGTGGCAGCAGCTCCCTGTGTAGTTTGGAATCCACCACGGCTGATTCACAGTCCTCTCAAATGAAGGGACTAATCGTGGCTACTGACTGGGGGAAACTGGGGCTTGAGACCATGCTTAATCCTTCATATTTAAACAATTTGGAGGAATAAATCTGTGTCRAAGCCTTTGCAGTGGCCTGACAAGCTCACTTGCTTGTACGATAAGATTGCTTGGGTTTCATTGTTCTTCAGAATTGATTTTAGGAACTCCCAAGTTATGACTCTTCTGTGAACGTCCTGTGACTAACTGGAGTTGTTTGTGCTCTTTTACAGGAGTCTCTTGGGGAAAAAATCAAGGTCTGCCTTCCTGCACGGCAGCAGCAGCTGCTTTTGCACTGTTCACTTTTAACACTCCCAACAAGCCGGCTGGATAGACCTGGGGAAGAAGGAAAACGGCTGCACGAATTTTTTCTCTTTCTTTCTTTTCCGTCTTCCCCCAACTTAACCCACTTGATCCATTTAAACAAATTACAGGCGATGAAACAAAATCTTGGGGGGAAGATGAAGACTTTCCAGCATGGAACAATGTTGTTTTCGTTCAAACTAATGCCTGCCATAGGAGATGTTGGGCACGGTTGCTGAGATCAGGGGAAGCCAGCAGTGCTAGTTATTTATTTCCTTTTTGTGTTAGCCATTTCCTTTTTGTGTTTTGTGTATTTATGCGAAAGCTTGTCTAATTTTGGAATATGTGGTTCACTGAGGGAGTGTTTTTTTATTTGTTGTCTTGTGGGGTTTTTTTAGCACTGTTAAAATATTTTTGTTTGACAAGTAAGTGAAATAATACTGCCAAATAAGCAGTAAATTAATTTTGTATCAAAATGTGCTTTGAGTACTTACTGAAATACAGATATTTTATTTTTCTCACTTAAAAGTTCTCTCTTCTGTGTTATTTTTCTGGGAAATAGGCTTTTGTGGAGGTCTGAGGGAATCACTAACAGTTTTCAGGCTACATAAATAAAAGCTAGCGGGGGGACATAGGGAGTGAATATGTGTGTGTGGCTACAAGTGTGGGATTGAGTTGGGCTTGGGTCAGCTGCCTTTAACTTCCAGCCTTTTCTGCATTAAACTGATTTGTTACTACCGAGCTCCCCAGCCTGCCTGGGTCGATCAATTAGCAGACTTTCCAATTCCCCTCCCTCCAGCGAGGGCGCAGCCAAGAGAGGCATTGCATCTTTTCATCTTTTTTTAGCATAAAGCTAATTTAATGACTAATAAGCACAGGCTTGTAGGATCTCTGAGCATCTCTGCCCCGTTCCTAATGACAGCCGGGGAGAAAACTCTAGAAACTAGAACAAAGAGTGGAGTGGGAAGCTAATGGGAAGATGTGTCATGCTGCCATGGTACCAGCATGTTCCTTCTGGAGACTTTCAAAGCAGCCTGTGAGCAGGTTCTTGTTGCAGCTGCGTTTCTAGGCTGGTGGGAAGGGGTAGAGGCAGTGGGGAGAAGCTGCTGCTCGAGATTGTCACCATCTCTTTCTGTACTGCTCCTTCAATTATGCGCACAGCCATAACCTGTAATTTGGGAATCGTGGGTTATGTTCCTTGCTCTGCCAAGATTTGACTCCCTTTCTTTCAAGATATTGAGTTGTCATTGTTAGGCTTGAAGCCTGAGGACATCCAAAGTTAGAGGTGGCACTGCAGAAGTTCTCCCTTCCAATCCAAGAGAGTTGTCCCCTGCCTTCCTGGTCCGGGGCTTGTGTGAACTGCTGAAGGACTGAACTGGAAGGGCAACTGCTAAATCTCAGTGACTTGTYCCCTGCAATCTGCTGAACGGGGCTGTTCCTGACTAACTCCTCAGCTGATCTTTCTAACCAAGGGAGGCARAGAGGCCTCCCTAGCTCGTACTTCAGTAACACATATTGGAAAGCCAAGGCAAAGACAACTACAGCTGCCCCTGAGTTGCAGTGATGATAGCCAATGCTTTTCTCTCACTTCTGGCTTCCTTTTTTCTCTCTCTCCTCCCTTCCTTCCCCGTCTCAGAGCAGAGCTGAACAGCTTCCCCTTTTCTCTTTTTAACTGCTCCAGGAATGAGCTTTGATCAAGCCAGAATCTAAGGAGGATCYGCAGGAAAGACAAGGATTTTCCTCTGAGACAGGACACAGACCAGGCAACTTTTGACCACATCAGCCCAGGTTGGTCCAGGTAATGYAGAATGGCTTCTATTTACACACATAAGCTCGATTTTGCAGCTCTGGGGGAAGGGTGTGGTATTTCTGCACCGAGGAATGTGTTTCTGCTTGTAATCTGCTGGGGCTGACTTGCTGTCAGGCAGAGTGAGCTATTTTTTTCCATCATAAGTAACAAGTCGATTTGTGTCAATCCAGCCCGTTGAAGTTACCTGACAAYGTAAAGGGTAGCAAGGATGTGCTGAAGATGTTGGGAATTTTTGACTATTTGGGAGCAGAGTTTGCAACTACCTTGGAGAAATGCAATAAGTACGGTGTGTAGAGTACAAAGCCCTCTATAGTGGCCAGTTGTCAGAACTGTGTGCTGTTTTTCCCCAACAAACAAAATGAGCAAAAACATGAACATTAAGGTTACCTTAATGTGTATGTGTAGGCCACCAACATTAAGGTGGCCTTCCTGAGCCACCAGGAATGGCTGCTGTAATCAACTAATACACGTGATATGAGCATGGTAATTGATGACCAGCATTTCACAAGTTACTCGTTATGAAACAGTCTGGCTGCAAAGGGATAAAGAAAAAATATTCTAGCTTCTTATTTGAATAGACAATTTGACTTCAATCAAAGATGCTTGAGTAAATGAGTGGGTTTTCTGTGTTCCTTGTTATCTCTGTGCTTCTCGGTGAGGAGCAGCAGCTTTTCTGGCTGTGGTTGATAGAGGGCTCTTAGAGGCAGGGACAGGGCCACCAGAAACATCCACCAGTCCTGCAAGAAGCTCCTGCCAGGCAAAGGGGCTCCTTCCTGGTCAAGAGATGCTCCCACGGCTCCTCAGACTCCTAYTTGGTTTCTCTCCCAGGAGGCTCAAAGCCTGGGTTTTGTCTTGTTTTCAAGGAAGGGCAGCACTACTTGCTTCTATTTTCCACTCGCCAACATGTTGGAAGAAGATAACGATGAGACGTGTTGGAATAACCTGGAGAACTTCCGCGTGAAGCTGATCTCGGTGATAGATCCTTCCCATATAACCCCCTATCTCCGCCAGTGCCAGGTGATTAGCCAYGATGACGAGGAGCAAATTCTTAACGACCCCAGCCTCGTCATGCGCAAACGGAAAGCAGGTGGGTGAAGGGCAGCCCTCGTCCCTGGCRCACACGGGGCCATAGCTGCAATACTCTTGAATGGTCACTTGGCAATTGGCTAAGTTTTTACCTGGAAATTGGATTCCAGGATTTTTTAACCTGCATGTGGCGGGATGGGGGAAAAAAATTCTCATTTCTTTAGATTAAGAGAGGAACAGATAAATAGAGAAGTTTGTTGCTGTCGTTTCAGGTGTTCTTCTGGACATCCTTCAGCGGACAGGACGCAAGGGCTTTGAGGCATTTCTCGAGAGTCTTGAGCTTTATTATCCACAACTTTATAAGAAAATAACTGGCAAGGACCCCAGCAGGGTATTCTCCATGATTATAGGTAATGCTCATGGAAAACAAAACAAACCCCTGATGATTTGAGGATGTTTTGTGCTTTGAGGGGGAATTCACCTCCCCTTGGCCTTCTCCCCTGCCCAGGTGAGCAGAATTGGGAGCTTTTCCCCTGTGTGTTTGCAAAGGGTTCAGTTAACTGGCAAGAGCAGCCCCAGCAGTCACAGAACCACAGAGCGGTTGGGGTTGGAAGGGGCTATAGACATGATCTAGTCCACCCCCCTACTCAAGCAGGGCCACCCAGAGCACGGGGCACAGGGTGTCRCAGGCTGCAGCCGGAGGAGGAAGCAGGAAGGATTTCTTCTTCCTYTCACCCGTTGTTTTGCCAGTGATGTTAAGATGGGAAGGCCGGGGCAAGAGAGCACGACCAGTTTGGCCGTGTGCCCTAAGGGCTCCACATGCTTGCGCACGGCGGGTGGTGGTGCCCCCGGCTGTGGGGATAAAAGGTGTTTTGGGGGTTCCTTGCCTGACTGGACTGACACCGTCCCGCCCACCAGACACCGCGGGGGAGTCGGGCCTGAGCCAGCTCCTGATGAGCGAGATCATGAAGCTGCAGAGCGCGGTGCAGGAGGAGCGGCGCAAGGCGCAGGAGCTGGGCGCCTGGCTGCRCTCCAGGGAGGACGCCGTGCGCGAGCTGCGCGTCAGGGAGAGCCTGCTCCGCAAGCACCAGGAGCGCGCCCAGAAGATGAGGGAGGAGAGGGACRGCCTGAGCAGAGAGCTGCGCAAGTGCAAGGACGAGAACTACAGCCTGGCCATGAGCTACGCCAAGCAGAGCGAGGAGACGAGTGCTGCCCTCATGAAGAACCGGGACCTGCTCCTAGAGGTTGGTTACCCTTTTCTTGAGCTTTCCCCGTATGTGATTCCCGGGAGACTGTGTGAGCACCTTGCTCAGTTTTGCCCTGATGACCAGAGCTGGAGCTGGCCCGGCAGGGACCTGGGTATTGCAGGCTGGTTGTGAAGAGTCCCCCCATTGAGGACTGGATCTTCTCGCTAGGGTGACACAGGAGCACATGGTTGTACCTGTTCAGCACGTAGGACTCCAGTTCCCAGGGCACCAAACCTCCCAAGAACAGAGTGGGAAGGGAACTTATGCCACATTCGTGTGGGGAACAAAGCGAGGTGTCTGCCCTAAGAAAACTGCCTTTGCAGCCTAGGGGTTTCCCCTTGTTACTGATCATCTCTGAACCTTCTTGCAGATTGATCGCTTGAAGCACAGCCTCATGAAGGCTGAGGATGATTGCAAACTGGAGAGGAAGCACACGATGAAGCTGAAGCACGCGATAGCGCAGCGCCCGAGCCACGAGGTGATGTGGGAGATCCAGCAGGAGAAGGAGCTGCTCTTGGCCAAGAACCAGGAGCTGGAGAACACCCTCCAGGTTGGTGAGGGATGGTTGGATAGGGGCTTCTGAGGAGCAGGGCAGTGAGGGAGCCACGTGGGGCAGCTATGACCATGTTTTCTTAAGCAAATGCAGCACGTAGGACTGGGGAGAGAGTTAATCTGGAGTCACTTGGTTGCTTTATGTCCATCTGTTTGTCCAGCAGGTTGCCAGGGAACAGAATTTGGAGAACAGCCTCTCCAAGGAAGCTCTGGAGAATGACTGTAGCCAGATGCTAGGAAAACACCAGGAGCTGATGAACACCATTTACAGCCTCCGGAAGGAGCTGCGGCAAGCTGAGGTGCTCCAAGACAAAGTATGTGGGGTGGGAAAAATTCCCGCTGGGCAGAGTAAGGTGTAAGAACAGGCAGATGAAGCATCTACAGTAAAGCCTGTGGAGAAGGAGCCGCCGAGCCGCAGGGCAGCTGTGTCCCTGCTGCTCCGTTGCCCATGGTATCTGTGCCTCAGCCTGGGGAAGGATAAGAGCTGATATTATGATGAACTGTTCCATTACATGTAAATTCTTTATGCCCTTAGTCACCTTGCCCAGCCTTCTGGTTGTCCTTGCTCCTGGCTTTGCGTGGAGGTCTGGCTGTAGCAATCTCTGTCACAGAGCAGATGGGAGGCTCTATTCCCCACACAGGGTGTTTTTGATCTTGTCTCACCAGCATTTGGAGGAGAAGGAGATGCTTGAGCTGCAGTGCATGGCTCTGAGGAAGGACTCTCAGATGTACAAGCAGCGCATTGAAGTTGTCTTGCAACAGATGGAGGAAGTGGCCTCAGAAAGAGACCAGGTAACAAAACACTGTCCTTGAAGCTGCTCCTTCCTGCACTGTTGGTTTGGGTGGGAGGATACTGCAACCCTAAATGTTCTGTCGTGTGCCATGTCGTGATATATTGCCCCTTACACCAGGCGCTGCTGATGCGAGAGCAGTTCTATACGCAGTATTCCAAGAACTTGGTGGAGAGGGATGCGTATCGGAAGCAGATTCGGGAGCTGGGCGAACGATGTGATGAAATGCAGCTGCAGCTGTTCCAAAAGGAGAGCCAGCTGCTGGCTACCGAAGCCAAGCTGAAAACGCTGCAGCTGGAGCTGCCGACGCCGGTGGGTCTGTGGGAATGTTGAAGGGTTGGAAAGCTGGGCATGGGCTCAGTGTGTGGCTCCCCTGAGGGCTTCAAACCCGGCAAGCAGTGGCCAGCAATATTTGCATGGAAACGCTGACCTTAGAGAAAGGAAAGGCGTGATGGTTCCTACCGGCTCACCTGGGTTTCCAGGTTAAGTCAGGCTGGACTGGTGCAAGTTGAGGCCTTTCTGGGTTGTGTTTGGAGTGTGTCCAAAGGTGACAAGSGGATGCTGGACCACCGAGCAGAGAACTCAAAGTAGCAACCATCTCTGAGCCGCTTGGATTAAACTGGAGCTGGGTGAGAGGGTGCAAAATCTTCTGGAACAGAACTGCGTGTACAGGAGATTTTAATTTCCGTGGTATTTTGTGTGCTTTCTCTAAGTGGTCAGACTGTTGTAGGAGGGAGGAAGTCCACACTTCTGTTTCTAGCGTTCGGTCCCTGTATATCCCTTCCTGCCTCTTCCTTGCTTCTAAGAAACGATTAACTTACTGGCTTTCTTATTTCAGACTTCTGACCTGGATGAGACCTCCTCCAGAGACTCTCAGGAAGTGAGTAGGATGCGCTGCTGACCTGGAGCTTCCTTCTGGCATGATTTTGCATTGCTCAGTAGTGCTCTGTTTCCCAAATAATAGCAGATTTCAGTTCACGGCTCTGTCTCGTTTCAGTGGCATCAAAAAGACAGATGCAGTGAAACAGGCCAGTGATAGATTCTCCCTGTAGCCTGGGATTTTGCARGGACACATATAGTATTTGCCAGCAAAATCGACAAAACTGACAATATCTTTGTCAGTTCTAAGCTAACCAGGGGATACTGAATGACTTTGAGTTTTTTTTCTAGYTTTTTCTTGCATGAGGATAGGCAAAAATAACCACGGCTATTACCCAAGAGAGATCTGTAGTAAAGACTTTTCACTTGGTGTTTAACTTAACTGTGAAAGTGATGGTCCCCTCRTCTGGAAGTCAAGAATACAAATAAGGCCAGAGGAACTGGATGTATCAGATAGGATAAATTCATGAATAGTCCTATAACTTCTTACTCAAGAAGTTCCCTATTTTGCTGACAACGGGATGTACTAGTGCAAGGTTTGTTCTGCACACGTCCTGTTTCTTACACCCTTGCCTAAGCATCTGTTCCTAGCTGTTAATTGAGACATGCCATGGGGCAGTTCTCATGGGCAGTTCTCATGTTCTTGCTTTGTTTCTGTGCCATAGCTTACTCTTCATGGTCACCTAGATGAAGATGCGCAGCTGAATAATAAACGTAAGGATTTTGTTGGAAAAGCATGAGGTAGAATTCCTGAGAGGATGGTTCAAAATCGGGTCTTCTTGAGATGTCTCAGAATAGATAACCACAAATTAAGGTTTGATTGCCATACTGCTATCCTTCTCGTTTATGAAAACCAGAACTTATCTCAGGTGCTGGGAATACTTGTGAAGCTTTTTGGAGAGAGAAAGCTTTACATGTTTTCTCTGTACTGCATAGATTCTGAAAGGATTTCTCCTATAGCTGAACTYTGGAATGACTTTTCCCAGAAAGAATCACCTGGTGGGAAAAAAAAAAAAAAAAAGCTCCAGGTACTTTGTTGGGACATATTTTGTGCTTGTGGCAGAGCTGAGAAGAGCATAAATACCCTTCTACTTCAGCTGAACCACATGACTTTCAACAGGGTTTTTTTTTCCTTCCCCTCCTCTGTTTAATGTTGCAGGTTATTTTCACAAAAGCAGAACCATGTAATTAGCACTGTCACTGGTTCTGTTTTTGTGGCATCCCCAGTGGAAATGATTCAGCAGTGAGGGAGAATTAGCAGGCTCCTCTAACAGCTTGAAATTCTCTTTCAAAACACATTGAGGGGGGAAATAGCACAGTAGAAGAAACCCTTTCTGTTCTGATCTTCTGGACAATCTATTGAATTGGGATATTTGTTACGAAGGTTAAATTATATCGATCCAGAAATGCTGGGTAGCAGTGGGTAGTTGTTTTTGACAAACTGGCAGAGTGAGAAGTTATGCAAGGATGATTGTAACTAAAGCTGTGATTTTTATTTTTCTTAGAAGATTGCACTGAAGGTCAAATGCAGCAATTTAGCACTCGAGAGAATAGTCAGTCTCCAGCATCAACCAGCGTAAGGAACATTTGTGGAGTTTTCTTTATTTTGCCTGGAGTTTGAGATCTTTAAAGCTCTTGTTAGTGATTGGCTTATCAGGGTGGAGAAACACAGAAAGCAGCTACTGCTTTTCCAGGAAAATGAGTTTCATGCAAAATTCTTTCTCTAAAAAGGGTGACTTCCAAGCTGCAGAACGCTCACCTGCTGGCTATTTCTCCCTGTTATTTTTTCCAGTTTAACAGTCTGCAGTATTACTATTAGTACAGGAAATAGAATATCACATTTACAAGTTGGAGAGAATGCTGAGTGGTGATATTCAATGTATTAAATGGAAATGTATGATTATCTCACAGGCATTATAGCAGACAACCAGAAATGGACACATTGCACTTCATTTTGCAGGCCCAGGTAGATATAAGAAGCCAGCAACACACTATAGTGCTTTCCTAGGTGAAGGTTTTTGCTGCCAACAGCTCTTTGTCATTTGAAGGGACTCTTTTTTTTTTTTTTTCTCTTGATTTTTAAATGCAGAATAATTTGGGATATACAAGTCTTGCTCTGCAAAGATGGGATAGAGTAGACCAGCCTCACTGTTCAGTGCCTGTAAATTGCTCTTTCCAGAGCAGACTTGCGCTATGTGCTGCTACCATTGATTCTGATATCCATGTGAATATGGTTGATATTCATCTGGATTTGTTGCAGTTCAAAGAGTGTGGCTCAGCCAGCGAGGACTTGGCAGAGAAGGAGCGGAGGAGGATGAAGGACTGCTTTGAGCGTTACCGAAGGTCTGGTCTTTAGTAAAGCAGAATATAGACCCATCTGTGTGATTCTGAGTTTGCTGAATGTATTTCCTCTTTTCTGACCTTCCACTATCCCCAAGCTTGATTCATGGAGGACACAGATTTATTACCGTTCTTAKCACTAGGGGCTTATGCTCCCAGCTGAAGGGGTTGAGACTCTGTTCTAGTTTTCATCTTGGCTATTGCTAGTACTGTCTCATTTGCACTGAACCACACAGATAATTCTACAGCACTGTAATATGGAGGCTGCAAAAATTAAATGCCTTTTTTTTTTTTTCCTTTTTTTTCCAGAAAAAGGGCAATGCGAAGGCTAAAGAACAGGCCCCACGAAGCGGATTGGGAAAACACTTCTGGCAGCGACAACACAGACACTGAAGGCTCCTAAGAGCAGGACGTGACCACGAAATGGCAGCGTGGGGGCTGCAACGCTCCCATCTTTATTTCCATTGTTCCCAGGAACCTACTTAAGTTTTAAAACCATCTGAGAAAGCATCACTTTTAAAATGGTGGAGGGTCTAGCCAGGGTGTATGTCTTCAAGGAACTGGACACACGTGCTATCCAGAATGCCTCTTCCCACTGAGAAATGGAGTAATGCAAGAGGCCTGTGCTACACCAAGCAAAGAGCTTAGACTAAGGGCCGCGGGAGGGGGAAATTGTGTTCACAAAAGTTCTGTTTCAGGAAGAAAAGCCCAGCTCAGGGGGCTGGTCTTATATTCAAGCTGGCGTTTTGCAAAGGGGGCAGAGGGAGAATCTGATGCATTTTGGTGCTGTCAGAGAAAGGGCTTCGCCTCCCTTTCCCGAAATACACGGTGTGAGCCCCGCTCCTTAGAGGAGGCTCCGTTCCCGGCGTCGCTCCAGCCGCCGCCTCACGCGCGGCGCGCGCGAGCCAACAAGATGGCGGGCAGGCGTGGCCGCG